GAATGAGGGGGATCATTGGTGAAAGCTTCTTTGGGTGGGCTGATCTGGCCTCAATAACCAGGATCATTACCAAATTATCTTTTTCCTTATTCTATTTCAATCCTTATATTCTAATTTAGATACAGGAAAAATGTTTATAAAAAAATTACATTTAAGTCAGTGACATATAAGATGTAGTTGCCTGTACTGTAGAGGTAATGAAAAATGTTTCTCTGCTCTGAATTTTTTATCATGGTCTCTGAGTGTGCACTAAAAATACAAACAATTTATTTATAGCATTTAGGAGAAGATATACCACTAGGAACCATCAGTTGAGCCTAATTATTTTTAGAATTAAGAATAACATATGAGACAGCAATGAAAAGAATGATTTTGAAAATGAAGATGGGCTGGCAAATTATAAAATGCTGTTTTAATGTTTTCCAGAAAATCATTTTGTCCGTTGTTATGATTATTTCACGAAAATGCAACTTTTATATACTTTCATGAATAAATATATGCATAAATATTTACAAATTTAAAAATTAAAAATTAGAAAATGTGTTAAGCGCCATTCTTACATAAACATTTTTTCTAATTTTTATTTAATTTTGTAAGTTCGTCTATATATATATATATATATATATATATATAGACACACAAACACATTTATTATTAACTGTAAAGTTACATGTAGCTACTATAGCTTTCTAAATGAAACAGATATAAATGTAAAAGTAAAAGCTAGAAAACAATGTTCATCTATCAAAAGAACTTATACTTCAGATGACATGTAAATCTAAACTTGGAAAAGTAGTTTGGTTTTCGTGTTTTTCATGATTGATTGAAAATATCAGTTATGTGAGATAGTTTAAGTGCATACTAGGGTTCAATAAGACCAAAAGGGAATAGGTTTGATGTGATCCATTAAATATAAAATTTTTTAAATTATGGTGTATCTGTTTTTGCACCCACTTTAATTACAATAAATTTCTTGAATATTTATTAAATATAAGAAATTGTGTGTCTGTTCGACTATACATTTACTTTTTTTTTTTTTTTGCCATAAAAAAGTAGCAGCACAATAAAACATTTGAGACCTGTTAAGAAGTTATTGGAGGTATTTTCTTGTAGTAATTGAAAGCAATGCCCCACTTTTCTTGTGCAATTTAAAGAAAATATAGAACGGTTTTTGCATAATGTAAAAGAATTTACAGCAATGGGTGCAATTTACCGAAAAGAAAAAAAGGGAGGTAAAAAAGTGGGGCATAGAAAGTAGAAAGTAATTTTATTACGTAACACATTGCGAACCTACAGAAATTGAATTTAAATTAGAAATTTTGTTGCTGCTTCTAGGCCCCATGTACATCAGAAGACTTAGAAGTTTAACAGAAGAATTTCATGCTGTTGATGTTGGATCATATAGAAGTTAATCTTGGAGTTCCACAATTTATATATCATGTTGGCAAAATTGGAGAAGTTGTAAAAAAAGATACGATCATGTTCCAACTCTTTCAAGATTTTCAGACACATTTTTCATACGGGGTCGTACTTCAGGGTCACCCTCGGTGCAAGCTAGAGCAATATGGAAAACTGCCAACACTTCCTTCTTGGCATGAACTTCTTGTACCAATACTGGCTCTACCATGTCTGACAGTGGATTCTGTTCTTCAAATCCTTTTCTCACCCACTTCACTATGTCAGGCACTTCAATGGAGTTGCTTGAAGTGGTGGGTGAGATCTCTGGCGATTTTCCAGTCAGCAACTCCAACAGGACCACTCCAAATGAATACACATCCCATTTTTGAGTTGGTCGGTTACCGGGGACTCGAGCTTCTGGTGCTTTATAATTGTTGTTGGTTCGTTCTGTTTGTACTGGCTTCATGTAAGGGAGGGCCCCGCCCAAGAACCCACTTGACGAAGAGGAATTGGGATCATTACCAGTTATGTTAATTAGTCGATTGAGACCGAAATCTGCTATGTAAGCTTGGAATTCGTTATCGAGAAGGATGTTCGATGGTTTGATATCTCCATGGACAAACTTTCTAGGACTACACTCGTGAAGGTAGGCCAACCCCTTCGCTGTTCCCTTGGCAATTCTTAGCCGAGTAGACCAAGATAGGCTTGATGATGCTTGTCCATTTCTCCCTGTACGTATTACTCACTTTGTTTAATTACTTGCATTTGTGTGCATAATATTCTACATGCTTGAACTCAATAAAACTGGGGCAAGTCATATTTTTAAATGTAGCATATGAATTCAATCTAATGTAGGCAATGAAAGGTTGTAGATTAACTTCCTAGTTCAAGAGCTCAACAAAGGACTAAGTAAATATTGATGAGTAAACACAGAAAAAAGAGAGTGTTTTCATTTTATTTGAAAATTTGCAGGTACTATTTTTATTATTATTTCTTAAAAGATTTACTAAATATAAAATAAAACAAATAAAAAATTTTGAAACACGATTTTGTTATTTTTGATTAAAAAAAATGTGATTAAAAATATATATCTATTACAAACATTTTATAATTTACACCATTATATATATTATTAATCTTTGGAAAAATATTTAAAAAAATAGTTGAGTAAACAGATGATATTAAAAAATAAAAACTTAAAAAGATTAAGAATAGTACACATATTTTTTCTTAATATTCTTCTAGTCATTTTTAAAAATTTAATAAACAACTTTGCTTTTTGTACATTACAACAGAACAAGATTCTTAAAGCTATTTATGAATAGCAAATAAACGACCTTATGCTTTCTCAATTTGTGGGCAAATGATATTTGCCTCGGCAGTGGAAAGTATGGCTATAGTTTTCTGATAGTTGATTTTTTTTTTCCCTAATAAAGTGAAGGTACATATTTTTGGAGAATATTGTGCAGCTTAGATTAATTAATTTTTATTGAATAATATTAGAGCGCGGGCTTATTCGTCTAAAAAGACATGATGAGGAAGAAGAAAGAAAACCACGATCACACTTTGTGAATAAAATTCGTAAGTGAGAATCATGGCCGTGCAAAAAGGCAAAACCAACTCAAATACCAAGAAAAGGGAACAAAACAAAACTTTTTATGCTGTAAAAGTTTCGCTTTCATTAAAGCTCCAAGTAAAAGCAAATTCCAGCCCTTCTCCTGAAAGCTTTTTATATCTTTTACAAGAAAATTTTAACTACGGTAGACTAATATCTTTTACAAGAAAACTTTTGTTTTTTGAAAATGCTTTTAAAAGAAAACTTAAATCTTGATAAAACTATCCTTGCTTTTTTTATATATAAAAATATATATATATATATATATAATTAGCATTATTTTATCCTATTTTACAATTTTTTGTGGGGGTTCAAAAAATAACAATGAATTGGCCATTGGATCCATCCAACTGCACTAGGGTTTAATCATGACAGAAAGGGATGGCTGATCCAACGAGCTCATTGAAATCGTGGTCGTTACAGGTTATTGCTGGTAGGACATGTCGACCAATAGTTTGAAAGTCATCGGTCTTAAAACTTCCACCATAACCATTATACCACATATACTACCCAGTAATTATTAAATACGAATAATTCTTAATTTTTCACAAGAACTGGGTATTACTAATTCTAAATCTTTGGAAAAGAGTTTTTATAAACAAAATTGAAAGTAAATTAATTATATTCGTTAACATGATAACTCGTGTTTTATTTACCTTTTTTTTTTTTTTTT